CTTTGCAGCTGAGTGCCTCTTCCTGTAGTGCTGCCTCAGGTTGCAAACCTACACACAGACACCGTGTATCCATTCCAGTGACAAGGCAGTCTGCTGCAAAACAGAAGTTCTGCCCAGCATGAGAAGAGATACGGATTTAAAAGGAAGAGCAGCAAAGAGAAGGGAAACAACCATGGATTACAGTAAGGCACACATTACAGTATTGGTTTATGTTAAAAAATCTGAGGGTATAATGTCACTTTAAGGGCAACTTTAGCCACATATTTAAAGGGCACAACACCTCATCAAGTGATCTCTGCTAAATGGTAGGAACAGAATTCAGTCTCGGTGATCCTCTCCACCATAGGCCAAGTGCCTTCAGACATTTACTTACAGCCCAACTGAACTTTTAGGTTAAATCAACGAAGTGTGTTTCAGGTGCATCAAAACAAAAGGTGTTAAGTTTGCTTTCTTTAGAAGAGTAGCAAAGCCTGTTTCCTGCTGTCGAGAAGGAGCCTTGAAAGAACAATTTAGCACCTGGTTGTACAGGACATTCCTACTGTTTTGTGCTGATTATCACCCTAATACTGCCATGTCCCAGTTGTTTCCTAGTTGTAATTGCTACTTGAAGCATTTATATCTTTAAACAATATAAAAATATATTTCTTAATAATTGTATGTATTATATTAGACATTTAATTAGTTTCATGGATTTAAAATAATTTGAATTGTAAAACTCTGAGCCAATATAATAAAATAACCAACCTTTTATTTAAAATTAACACACCAATTTTAGTTTATTTAACTTTTATTTTTTTAAACTTTTTTTTATTAATTTTTTTAACTTAATTGCTGGGTGCATTAGCCAGCCTGCTATTGGAGAGAATCCCTCTGATAATTGGCAGTGGGCAGGTGCAATGGCCAGTAGACTATTGCATTTTAAAATATTCCATAGCAGGCTGGGTATGGAGTGGAGGCACAGGGGGAGCAGAGGAGGAACAGGGTGGGCAGCGGAGGTACGGGGGGAGGGGGTAGCGTGGGAATGCAGTCACAGCGATCGCTCCTCCCCGCTGGTGCCGGCTGCAGTGGTCAGTGTCCCTGCTGCCTCTGTCGATACAGGCGGGAGAGTAGCAGGGATGAAAAGGGACACAGTCCACTGCAGCCAGCGGGGAACAGAACGGAGGAGCAGAGCGGCGGCAACAAATCCAAAATCAACTAATGGATGATGAGAATCGTTGCCAACGCTTCTCATTATTGATTATAATCAATACCACCTTGTTTGTTCACACGGGAAACATTCTGCCAAAATATTGTCTCCCCAGCATTTCCCCTTCTATTCCCGTTATCTAGCTTCACACAGTTCATCATGGTTAGAGAATTTTGTCATTGAGTACTGCTAGGACTTGAAGTTAGGAAATCTTACAACAGCATATCTGCAAAACTCCCTTGATTAAAGCTGACCTCTGGGCAGAAACCTTTCAGTGTGTTTAAAAATGACATCTCTTACCTTCCTTTTAAATGTGGTCTTCTTTTGCAGTGCAATGCAGCATCCATGGAGAAATCACGCTTAGAAAGATAACAAATAAGGGCTCAGTATACCCATTTCCTGTTGTAAGACCAGTAGCAACTGTTCCTGCTTTTTCCCAGGGCCACTGGTCTTGTAACTCCACCATTGTAGTTTACTGGTAACCATGGAAACATTAATTATAGCGTATGGACCCAGACTTCTTAGACTCCCAGTCTGTCTTACCCAATCTCACTGCAAAATTTGGTTGCCCGACTGGGAGACTCTTGGTGTTACTGCCACGTTTTATCATCAGGATCAGCCACCAACTTGCCTACATTTACTCCCATTGAGTGATGAGATACCTCCTTTAGGTACCCAGGCAGGTCTAAGCTTTCTGTATACAGCTGATGAGGTCACAGACGACACAAATTGAGTTTTCTGCAGAACTATGAAGTTTTAACCGAAACCAATTTTTACTGTAAATACGAAGAGGAACTTTCACACAGTCCAACATGATTAAATTTGTATTTGAATAATTTTATGACTTGGGCTATCTTCTAAAGCCTTGGTTCTCAACTGGTGGGTCGTGACCCCGTTTTCAGTGGGTCGCCCCAAGCCTTCCACTTTTCTATGTGGAGGCTCCTCTGCCTCCCCCCAGCACTGTCAGTTCTCGCACCAAGCAGCCATTCAAAATATTCTGGCCAGCGCCAAGTGTCAGCTTGAGGTGGGTTGGGCTGGGGCTATGGCTGTGAGGGAGCTCCATCTATACGTGCCTTGTTTACAGCTCCCTCAGGTGTCCTATAGAGGTGACATGGTGACATCAAATTCTGGCTCCCGGAACCTCTACAGGGCGCACAAGGGAGCTGTACAAGCAATGCACAAATGGATGGAGGTCCGTCACAGCACAGCAGCCCACACTGGACCCCAGGCTGAGGATCCACTCCAGTTCTCGTAAGTTAGGGAGACTGGGTGGACCTTAAAAAAAATGTAATTAAACATTTTTGGGAGTTTGTATGTGTGTCAGAATGAGTCAGTGTTTTTGAGGGCCCGTTCACACTAGTACAGTCCATTAACCACATAGTACCGTGCAATTAGCACACTGTACTTCGCAATCGCATCTACTGTGCATTCTGGTGTGGGAGTTGTGTTGTGTTGCCATTCATTTGAATGGTACCCCAAACGCACCTCCCACCCACAGGTTGATTACCGGAACGCACAGTACCCTAATGCCGTGATTTCCATTGCAGTGCAACTTGGGTCACGACTTAATGACCAGGGACAAATGTGGGTCCAGAGGTAAAAAACATTTTGAGAACCACTGTTCTAAAGCATATCTGCAAAACGTTGTTGAGTAAAAATGGGAGAAAATGGACTGAAAACCTTTTCTAGCACAAGCTGGTTTGCAGTTCTTTAGTGGGGTTGGAACTTAACACCAATGCAGAGTTATTTTTGGTACTCCTTTTATTGTTTTATCTACAACTCACTAATCACACTAATGTACCATAAGCTGTAGATCAGCAAATCATTTCTGGGGTTCCCCTTTAGGGAACCCTTGGGCATTATGTTTTCAAGGGTTCCCTAAAGGGTAGGTTGAGAGAGGCTGCTCGAGTGTTGGTATTCAGTACAAAGAGGAACTGAAGTATTGCCTGTGGTCTCCCTGCAGCTGATCTTTCCGCTGTTACTGACTTACCATGTCTTGCTCTACAATATGTCTCTGTGGTGGCCATCTTGGTAGGATGCAGGGCTTTGCTTCTTCCTCTTCTTCACCAGCAAGGAGAACAGTGAGCACACCGTGTAGAAGTGTCACCAATTTCTTTGAGGCAAGCAGTCAGAGGCAGCAGTGCCCTGGATCTCACACTGCAGATATACAGCTATGAGGACAGAGGAGAACCTAGGCTCACTCGCATGCCAGGAAGTGCTATTATTTTTCAGGAGGAATTCAAGACAGAAGGTAGATTTTTCAGGGTACTGCCTAGGAACAATTAAAATTTCTGAATCTTCGCTATAACATCAATTTCCAAGTCCAGTACCACTTTAAGCTTGTTGTAGTATTGCTCACCGTATAAACCTAAAGTGGAGTGTTGTTCAGCACTATAATTTGTAAAGTAATAATTACTTGTGTTATGTAACCTGTATTTGATACAGGTCTGAATTAAAACAATTTACCTTTTTAGGTTTTCATTTTACTTTACCTTAGTCATAGCATTGTTTCTGCTTTATAATACTGTACCTGATGAAAAAGAGAAGCTTCATAGATCTCTTTTATAAGCTGCCAGTCTTGTTAACCATGTCCCGGGGCATATATGTTTTCTCACGTAGCAGGGTGGAGTTAATATTCTTGTGTGAGAACACTAAATGAAAGTAGACGTCGACTTGTATAGTCCTGACCTCGTTTCCAAGCCTTTGTGGAGACAGATATATGCACAGTTATTACACCGTTATTACTGACTCGGCACTCGCCGCCTTTGTAACTAATGTTTATTTGCAGCATTATAGTGGTGCTCCAATATTCGGTGATAGTGCCATGAGCAGTGTTGTGCTATTACCTAAGGTAATCAACCAGAAATTGGCTTTCACTGTGTTTCAGACTGCCCGTTCCATGGGGCAATTTTTCTGAAGATTTGACAAAGGTCACTAAAATCTCATAATCCACAGAAAATGATGACAACGTAAATGTTACCATCATTCAACTTTAAGCATTTTCTTTCTAATCATGTGCATTTAGCAATAGCAGATATACTTTTTTTATATATAATTGCCATACACATTTATTTTTAATGGTTTGATCAAGTTTTAATTGATCAAATGTCTAAAATATATTCCATGCAACACAACAGGCTGTATAAATGCAATCACTTCTATATGAAAGGTTTATTGGACAAATATACAAAAATTAGAAGAATTAATGTGCAACCAGCTTCAGAATTTTTCAGCTCATTCAATTACTGTAATCAATCATAAATATGATAGAGATATAGAAAAAGTATTGCTGTTTATGCTAGGTTATATTAATTGGCATTCATTTATGTTAGGTTGAGAGTTTATGCTAGGTTGTATTGGCATTAGTTTCTGCTAGGTTATGAGTTTATGCTAGATTATGAGTTTATGCCAGGTTGTATTAATTGGCATTAGTTTATGCTAGGGTATGAGTTTTTGCTAGGTTATAATAATTGGCATTAGTTTATGCTAGGTTATGAGTTTATGCTAGGTTGTATTAATTGGCATGAGTTTATGCTAGGATTATAATAATTGGCATTAGTTTTTTTTATGCTAGGTTATGAATTTATTCTTGGTTATATTGGCATTAGTTTATGCTAGATTATGTGTTTATGGTAGATTTTTTTAAATTATCAACTTTATATGTGAATAATGCCAACACAAGTTTGGAAGACCATTCTGCTAGAAAAAAAAAGGATAATTTCTTTATTTCCCTGCCTGTTTTTTACTAACATGTGGCCCATATGCTGCTCTTTATCACAGTGGAATGTTTTCTGTCTTTTTTCCCCTCTGGCAGAACTGAACAGCACTGATCTGAAAGGATGTGTAAGCGAGAACAGTTTGAGCAGCAATGCCAGCCTGCCCAGTGTACAGAGCTGCCGGAAACTCGGAGAGCGCAGGGTGGCCAGCTGGGCTGTGTCTTTCGAAAGACTTCTTCAGGATCCAGTTGGTGTTCGGTATTTTACAGTAAGTCATTCTTATCAGATGGTAACCGCAGGCAAATGCTGACCAGAGTAATATAGACCTCAGCAGCCACCCCAATTTGACTGGGCTTAATTGAATTAAAGGGGTTGAACAAAGCCGCTGTAAGGTGGGATTTATTGTAGATCCAACCAGAAGATTGGAATGATGAGGTTGTCGAATAGTGTGGGCAAGTCATTAATTCTTCCTGTCTACCATTGCAAAGCAGATGCAAGTTTTTCATCCTATAGGAGCCCCTTGGTATAAGAAAACAGGACCCAATCCCCCAATTTGGTTGGATTAGATGACCATTATTTTTCTGAGTACAATTACACAGCGTTTGGTCAGTTCTCTCGGTAACTGGTAGGTCTTCACCTGGTTGGGGTGGGGTTGACCTGGGGGTTGCCTTCTGCTTTTTCTCCAGGACGTTACTCTTCTGATCTGAGTGTTTATGGAAATGTAATGTCTAAAGGGAAAGTCTTGTCCATTGATTTTAGATATACTTGGAAAAGACATTAGATTGAGGTAAATAATTAGGAGTGAACCGAAATTTTGGACGCCAAAACATATCGGCCAGAAATGGCACTTTGGTCAAAATTCCGAAAGTGCCATCTTTTGGCCGAAATTACAGTGCATCCGTGATTTTTGAGTGAGCCGGGTGCAAAATTGTCAGCTGAACACTAACTATTTGGGTATTCTGACGGGGGCAGGCGCTGGCTGTCAGAATTAAATAGCCCGTGGATGGGATTCCTCTATCTGCTCTGTTTAACGTGGATGGAGAAATCTATAAGTATATGGCCAGCTTAAGACAGCTGAACTTTTATTTAAAAGGCTGTTTAAACTCTCAGTATATGGCTTTGCTCTCTGTTGGTTTATGAATTGTATATTTCGTTTTCACATTCTCATTCTCATTTTTATTTGACACTGTTATTGTTTGCATTGTATGAGTGCCCTCATATATTCTTTATTGGGGAACGGTCTCCTGGACTGACTTTGACATTTGTTGCTGTTCCGGTTCCCAATTATGACCCGCTACTCTGATATGGAACCTCTTAGAACATTTAAAAGTTTTATATGTGTTCTTTATAGAAAGTGGCAGTAAAAGGAATAATCTTCCACAATGTCTACATTTCGGTCACCTGCCAGATTAGGATCAGTAGATGTTTCTGTTCATTATCTGCTAGTAAAAGTTGAATTCTCAGTATAAGACAACCTACACTTCATGTACAGTATGTCTCTTTCACCACAGCAGATTCACCTTGAGAGAGGAATAACCTCCGTACACTTAGAGGTTTCCTCTGGGTCAGTCCTCAAACCATGTACTTGCATTGTGGTGTTGGTTGGTTAGGAGTATCCTCCTTTTACCCTTTATTCTTCCTAAACAGAATGAATGTGTTGGAGGTTTTCCATGCTGTCTATTTTGTGCATCAAATTATATGATCCAAATCTCTTAAAGGAGAGCTCCACTCAAAAATGAAACTAGCAGCAGATTGGCAAAAAATAGGATAGTACCTTGCAGCTTTTCTTTATTTTTAATCCAAGATCCAGGAGCATCTTCAAAGTACACCTGCCAGGAGAGAAATTCAGGGGCTGTTATTGCTGCTTTCTGGAAATGCTGGCGTCCGTATGTTAAGATACTGATCTGTAATTATTGAAGTTACAGGAGGATCATGGCAGCCAGTCAAATATAACCAACGAATAAAACCGCGCTTAGGTGTGATAATAGAATAATTTTAAGGTTTAGTGCAGTGTATTGACATTTATAAGCCAGTCAAATAGCAGCTTTAGGAGAGGTCAAAAATGAAGCTGGGAGATGGAATATATTATCAACATGAGGTCAAGATGGTCAACAGAGCAAGCAGATCTTGGACCTCCCTGGACTGGTCTATGATCCTTAGCACCTCCAGAGTCATTCTTAGAGTAGTAAAGTCAAATAGAGCTCAAATCTCAATCTTGCATAACTAAGCCGGCACAATATTAATCTTTTAAAGGAGTAGTCCTCCCAAAAGTGATACTGTTCTTCCAAAAAATTGTATTCAAGATATAGGTGGGCTATTCCTGTCTATGTGGGTGTCTTCAGTATTCTTGGCCACCTTTTGTGTGTGCCGACATCTCCTCTTTCAACAGAAAGATTGGGAACCCCTTACAATGGCGTCATTGGGTTTCCAGACCCAGGGACTCGAGCAGAGATCTCAGCAGGGTCCTCAAGATTTAAGGAACTGTCAATTGGTTTAACAGTCCAGCATCAAACAAAATGAAAATCTATCCAATGCCTACGATTGTAGCAGTTTATGCAGATCAGCTGATGTAGTCTGCTGGTGCTGTCCACCAAGCAGGAAGATGCCTGTAGACATAACTTCTCTAAAATGATAATGGTGTTCCTCTGTAGGTTGAGGCTTAGATACAAATAGTACCTCATAACATATTTTTCATTTTTGGTTTTATTTTCCTGTAGGAGTTTTTGAAGAAAGAGTTCAGTGAGGAGAACATTTTGTTCTGGCAAGCCTGTGAATATTTCAGCCGCGTTCCAGCTCATGATAAAAATGAGGTAATTTATTGTTGTTATTGCTTGTTGTATTGGTGTCGCTGGTTTTTCTACAACCTGATCGTCACTGAACATCAGTTATTTCCTGAAAAATCACATCGTCCCTCTGTGAAACTGCCATCTCTGAGTTGTTAAAGCCCATCTCCAGCTAAAACTTTTTTTGTATTGGAGAGATAAGAGTCAGAAGTGCTGTCTAATTTTTATTGCATTTTACCTATTGGGAAGCTCTTCCTTCTACTTCCTGTGCCAGTGACACTGGGAATAAGAAATGAGAGGGTGCCGGTGTCACAGAGACAAGAAGACACAAAGAGCAATACAAATGTGCTTTTATTGCAGTGTCCTTTTATTGCTGCCTCCTAGTTCTCATTAGAAGTATCTCCCATTACTTCCTGTCCTTGAGACATCCTATTACCAGGACGGGAAGTAACAGTGAATCTTCCCAACGGGGACATAGACCGCAATTAAAACCTATACTATACAAACGAATAAAAAATAAATGTATCCAACCAAACGGTCAAATCTTTTTTTATTGGCTAATTGGAACAAATGTATAAAATGTAATCTTTACCAAAATTCAATAACAAATATACAATAGAAGCGGTTTTTGCCAAGAGCATACACATGGACCCACAAATGGCAGTTTCAATCAACATCAGTTTTCAAAATAATATTCTAAAGTCCCCTTAATTTGGCCCCTGCTAGCTTGTTAAATATTCAAGATCATATTTTATCACCAGAAAAACTGAAGAAGGAATATAGGCATTTCCACAAAGTAACAATAAATGTCTAAAGCTGAACCGGGCGCTTATAATTGGACCGCAATAAAGAGAAATTCTAAATCTTCTCCTCTATACAAAGCTTCTTTTGGGGGGGAGGGGGGGCTTTAATATCAATGGCCGCCTTGTCTGCATACTGTATATGACTTATAATTAATAACCATGTCTAATTTCTGATTTTCAGTTGTCCTACAGGGCCAGGGAAATATTTAACAAGTTTCTGAGCAGCAAGGCGACCACTCCGGTGAACATTGACAGCCAAGCTCAGCTCGCTGATGACATTCTCAATGCTCCTCACCCGGATATGTTCAAAGAGCAGCAGCTCCAGGTAAATTGGTTGTAGGCGTAGACCTCCCCCCATTTCTCTGCTTACAGTCTAAAGGTGGCCATACACTGTTCTATGGTTTTTTTTTTTTATCATTCAACCTGTGGGCTGAATGTAAAAAAATAGAACAGGTTCCTTCATCAACGCTTACGAGCATTGATCGAGGAATCTCCCACTGTCTTCTCTGTATCCTGGCAGCGGGTCAGAATACCCGAACAGAGCCGACAGCTCATTGGTTGACATCTCTGTTAGTACAAAGATTTTCCAACTGGCTCCTTCGGTCAGCTGAGCCACCGCTCCAAGCTCGCTCCCGTGATGGAAAGCGTTTGTTTACTAATTTGTATTGAGATTGTAGTCCATCACAAGAGTGAGCTTAGAGCGGTGGCTACTTTAATTTGCACAATTGCATTACTGTCTCAAAATCTGAGACCGTTTAAAACTCATTTGGGGACGCTGGCACTTTCAATGCCGCACATTGTGTATTTTATAAAGCTCATATGATCACTGTTCACGCTTTAACCTATCAATTATATCGAGGGTTTTACATGTATTTTTCTTCTGCTGTTTCTCAGATATTTAACTTGATGAAGTTTGACAGCTACACTCGATTCCTGAAGTCACACTTGTACCAGGAGTGCATGCTGGCCGAAGTAGAGGGGCGATCCCTGCCAGATCCCCAGGAGATACCCAGCAGCCCAACCTCCAAACATAGCGTGAGCTCTGACCGCTCCAACATCTCTACTCCTAAAAAGGTACACACTCAAAATCCCTCAGTCAGTGCAAAGCAGTTTTAATGTCGAAGGTCACTTGCAGCCAGTGGATGGCCATCAAATACTGTCACTCATCAGCAGCTGGTGATTTAGTTTCTTGATTTTGTTATTGGAGGAGTTTTTTTTATATGGATACTCACCTTTTTCAGCTCATTGAAACTTTGGCTTTCCCACGCTGAAACCCGGAGTTGCTTTTTTGGAAATTGCCTGAGTGGTAAATATTGTTGGTCCCTATAAGCCAACAAACAGAAAGTGGGAAGCAGATGCCTAGAGGCTGAGAGACAAGCTGAGGGAGGTTTCACATACATGCTTTTAGAAAATACCACCGAAATTGGCCTTTCCTTTAGGGCTTACATGTCCCAGCACAGAGAGAGCGGCCTTCTCAGATCTTGCCCAAGGGTTTTTATATGCACGTATGAACATGTCAGCAGAGGATTCCAGTCTGCCTTGTCACAGATGAAAAGAAAAATATGAAGTCTTCTAGATCTTGACTTTTTCATTAATGTATATAGGTTCTGACTCTGGTTTCCTCTGTGTACAGCAATTAAGTAAAAAGACCAAGTCAGGGCGATCTCTGAATGAGGAGTCGGGAGGAGAGGATGATAATGATAAAAGGAGGAAAGGAACCTTCTTTTCCTGGTCCAGGAGTAAAAGCATTGGGAAATCGCAAAAGAAGAAAGAAAATGGGGATGTTACCAATGGTGAGTAATGCCGTGCTATATGGTTATGAAGTATAGTGGCTGATGCTGTTACTTTGACTTCTGCATAGCCAGCTTAGGCCATGTTCTAAGACACACACAGCCACCTACACATCATGTTATTGACTTTCAGTAATACATCTACATGTAGCATAAAAGTAGTCACCCTGCCTGCCAGTGCAGACCACTAGTTTCTATACTAGTCATAACTGTGTGTTCGGTTATAATTTTCCCACTACAGAGGCTCAGTCATCCTGCTCAGGCTTTGCCGTTGGCTAGGACCGTTTCGGAATCCACAGCTGACGATCTTCTTTTTATCATTTTCCTGGCAGACTCCACTTTTATCAATGGGGGTCCAGGCAGGAGGCGCGAGTCGCAAGGTTCTGTATCATCTTCGGCAAGCCTTGAGATGATTAATTGTGGAAGTAACGGCAATGCGCTGGAGGTAAGGACCAAGTTCAAACTGTAATTGTTTTGCAAGGCAGCAGCTCTTTTATCAGGCGACTTGACGAGGAACCATTTAAAAGCCCGGAGCACACATTATGCATGCTTTAGCTAAATGATCGTATGGATTCTTGTGACCTTCGTAATCTGATTTTCATTTAATCTGCTGATCTCACCTTGGAGAAAGCTTTTATTGTAATGCTATTAGTAGAATACATTATAGTTTTCTATGGTGACTTCACACCTTAGTAAGCAAAGTGCCTGAAGGAAAAAGCATTGTCGTCCATGGTGGCCAGTCAATCTCTTACTTTTTCTTCAGTGCGATGTTTATTTTTATTGTCATTTCACACTTTTGGGATGCGTTTGGACCCTTCCTCAGGCTTTATACAATTCTGGAACTGATTCTTAAACCAATGTATTTATATACAGTGGTAAACTACTCAAGTGTGCCATGAAGAAATGGTTGTATTTTATTTTTCATTGCTACTATAATATGTGATGGAAAATACTGTTCAGTATTCTAATACAGCTCTTATTTAATCAAGTAGTCTTCTGCTCATCATGAGTTTTACATGCTCTATAACAGCCCTCACAGGAAACATTAAATAAGTCATGATGTACTAGTTCTGCTGTCTGCTCTTTATTAGCTTTTTTTCTTTGTGTCCTCCAAAGTTTGAATCGTCCAGAGTGTCGTCTTCTGAGAAATCCCCCAAACACTGCTACATCGCTATGCCAGATGGCTCGTCCTGTGCCATGGTTGTGAAGACTGGTTTCTCCATTAAGGAAATCCTGTGCGGCCTGTGTGAGAAGCATGGCTTTAATATTGCTGCAGTGGATCTGTTTTTAGTTGGCGGTAACAAGGTAAGACCCTTTTTCTGCTAAGGTGGGCTTTACTTCCATAAATATTGTTTTTAAGTTTGGTTAGAGTGATGCTGTGTGATCTCTATCTTGGTCTAGTGGCTGGATCTGCACTAATCATCCACTCTTGGCGCTTGTTCACACCAATTGCGGTGCGGTCCAGAGCGGCAGCTGCAGTCAATGGCACTGCAGCCACGCCCCACCGCCAGCAGTGCGATCGGACGTGTGGCAAAACATTGCCTGCGTTCCGGTCCACTGCAAATGCAAAAAATAGAGCATGCAGCATTTTTTTTCCTTTCGCAGTGGACCGGAATGCAGGCCATGCGTCTGATCGCACAGCGGGGGGAAGGGGGTGCTGGCTGCAGTGCCATTGACGTACCGCGCGGCTGCCGCATAAGTCTGAACAATGCAATGGTTTTTATATTTAGAGCTACTCAGCACATATTCTAACGACCGAATACGCGTGAAAAACCGCTCATGCGTGAATGGAGCCTCACTGAGCATTAAGCACACGTTAAATGTAGGAGTGCCAAGGGCTTGTTACTATGGGATAGGTTCATGTAAATCTGTCATGAGAATATAATGGATGTAGCCACTGTTGAGCTCTCCCTTTGAGAATGCTATTTGCCTGGCTGTTATGCTGATGCTTTAGAGAGTTCCTGTCACCAGTCCATTTAATTTCATCTACAGTCCTCCCATAAGATTATATGTGCATTTAATACATGCTATTTAATTGTACAATGTATACTTTATTTGACTTTAGTGGAGCTGCAAAGTATTAATTTGCCTTCAGGGCTCATCTTTACAACTTTAGTTGTGAGATCTTTTGCAATGTGGCCTTTGAGCCCAGAGGAATATAGACTTCCATGCTGGTTATGCTGAGAAGGAGCACTCACATCGGGGTTATTGTGTGAGTAAGGGTGAGGGTTTCCTGTAATGGGAGTAAGGTTGGGTTTTGTTGGTGACTTTTTGTACACACCCTATGTTGCTAGAATAAAGGTAGGTTGCACTAAAGATTGGGTGCTATGATCCCTTGATCCTTGCAGTATATACCATGGTCTGAACCGGATGGTTGTGTCCATGAATGTGGACCTTCTGCCAGAATTAGAATTCTGCTCTTTGAGGGTCTCCTGAACAGACAAGAGCTTTCCCATGTTATGTGAATGCTGCTTGCGTAGTGTGCGTAGTAGGATAATCGATTCCTGGGTTTCACTGAGCAAGACTTGCTCTCTATTGAAATGAGTGCAGGCAGCCCCACGGGGATGTCTGCTTAGAAGATAGGGTCCCTTTAAAGCCTCAATACAGACATATGCACACAGCAGTGGCTGGCAGTGAAAGTGTTAAAGCCCCTGGGCCTGGCTCCTCACAAGTAGCAGTGTGTAGAATGTGCTTGCTCCCCCCCTCCAAAATGTGTAATTTATTGTGTGCTTCTGTTTATTTTGTCTTCACATAACGCAGCCGCTCGTTCTCGGCCAAGACAGCAGCATTCTCGAGTCCCGGGATCTAAGAATAGAAAAACGGACGTTGTTTCGGTAGGAGAAACCAAATGAATCCACCAAATGTAACATTTTGGGCTGCAGGGAGGTTTTCCATCGCGGACCCTCCTGGCGGGAACGTTTCCTTTCCAGTTTATTTAATAAATGTATTTCATCGCAGACTCTGCGCGCCTCAGTCTACCAAACTAACAATCTCTCTGGGGTTATTACAGCCATGGATCATTTCACGTCTGCTCGGATTTTCCTCTGGATGGAATTGTGCAGCTGAAGCAATTTGAAAAAAAAATGAACTCCGTTAAAATGTTCTGCTGTATTTTTATTTGTGTTCCCGTTTTGTAAAGCTTAAAAATAACCAAAATATAAGATCGAGATTTAACCTCATAAATAGGAGCTCTGATCTGGAAGGAAGCCGTGTATAAAACTGGCAACATGCATGGCTATGGCTTTCAAACCGGAGGCACTCTCTCTCGTATGGAATTCAAATATATTTATCCCTTTTCCAGCCAAATCTGAGAACACGTGCTATATGTTATGTGCTCCCATTCACACTGCACACCTAAAAAGAATGATAAAATATATTCTAGCTGTTTATTTGGAGCAGGATTAAGTACTCTATAGGCACCTTGAATTCTTCACAATAACTTGCTAAAGGAACACTTGACAATACACTATAGAGACAGTTTTGTTTTTTTAAAAGTGCATTAACATACAGTACAATGTACCATCCAAGCCTTGAGATCTTTAAAGTAGTATTAAATGCTCAAACTTTTTTTCTCCAATAATGAATGCAGATCAAGCAAATATATATTGGCCAGCAAAGTATTACATTTTTGCCCAAACACTTATAATCATCATGTTTCAGAACTGCTGGCCCCAACTCTTTTGACTTTGCTTCCCTGAATGTGCTGTCCAGTACAAGATCAGAAGGAACAGAGCAGTCTCCAACAGCTGTCCATCTACTATCTTGGAGAAGGGAGCGCTGGGAGGGGAGTGACTTGCCTTGCTGTGTTTGTAGAGACACACAGCTTACTAGCACACACAAGGGTGGCTCCACAGGACCCTGCTTTTGACTTTAACATTGCGTTAAGTCACCATTTACACATGGGCGTATCAGGAACGCACATCAAATGCGCACAAAAGTGCATGCTTTGGCATGCATTCTCGAAATGCACACCAAACGCACTTGTTGTGCCAGCACAGTGGCATAGTGGTTAGCACTGGGGTCCTCAGTTCATATGCCGCTCAGCACACTATCTGCAAAGAGTTTGCATGTTCTCCCTGTGCTTGTGTGGGTTTCCTCCGGGTACTCTCGATTTCTCCCACACTCCAAAGACATGCTGGAAGGTTTATTGGCCCTGTGTGCATGTGAGATAGGGACCTTAGATTGTAAGCTCCTTGAGGGCAGGGACTGATGTGAATGTGCAGTATGTAAAGTGCTTTGTAAATTGTCAGCGCTATATAAATACCTATAATAACAATTACTAGTCAGCAGCACCCCAAACGTGGCCAAGCAAATGCAGAATGCATGTCACAGAATTTGTTACATGTGCAACTTTTCCCATGGGTTCGTCAGCCATTGAAATCAATGGGGATGCGCCAAACACAAGAAACCAAAGCTCAGGAACGCGCGTTAGCGCGATGCGTGTTCCTGCTAAGCCTAACCCTTTGTTAGGACAGACAAGATGAGATAACTGATAAGATCTACCAGCACAGTACAGACAGGGTTAATTATGGTAAAAATGACTTCCTGGCCCCCCTCCTATGGAAATAATTTTTAAGAATAAAAAGGTTATCGGCAGTTTTTCAATCTTTAAATATTTGTTAAAGTTTTGCTATGTGAATGGGAACATGTAACGGATATAAAGTAGGTGTCCCAATTTGGCTACAACAGTGGAAATTCAATTTAAGAAGAAAAAATCCCGCTATAGCACAACCAGCCACTTTTTTTATTTCCGGAGTTCACCTTTAGAGTAGAATGGTTTTGGATAGAATAGAGAAAGGTTCGATCCTCTGATCGATCGTCTTTTATTATTAGCATTATCCATGAGATATCCCTTCATTTCCTGTTGTGTCTCCTGATGGAGATTCAAATGCTTTCCCTCTCTACCCCTACCTAAAAAAGTTTTTTCTTGAGTTTCATTCTAAGTCCTACACTGCAGGTATATAATGAGGAATAGCGGATTGTAATGAAATGTTTCTTTGTTTTTTTTAGCTTGGATCTTGTACCAATTAACAGATCAGTGGGATTGAAAGCCAAACCGACGAAGCCTGTGACTGAAGTCTTGCGTCCTGTTGTGGCTAAATATGGGCTGAATCTTAATGAACTTGTTGCTAGACTTGTAAGTCAACTTATAGTTTGATATAACATCACATTGTTTCATCTTTATTTAGCCTCTTATCTAGGTTGAAGTAATCTATTCTGTCTGTTGCACACTTGAGTGCAGTAGGTTAACTTTAGATTGCTCTGTCTCTGCAGAGTGGGGAGCAGGAACCTCTAGACTTGGGTGTCCCTATATCCACCTTAGACGGCCAGAGAGTTGTATTAGAGGAAAAGGACGGCTCCAGAATGAAAGGTAAGTGGAGGCTGTTCGTTCTTCTCTGTATTCTAACCCACTCTCATACGTTTTCATAGCATGTTTACTTGGTGTGATAGAGACATTGCACCAAATCATATTTATTAACTCTTTTATAACCATTGCTCATTGAGGCCTAGATGCCCCAATCAAATCTCATTGTACATTGGTTAGCTTTTTAAATGTGTCAGTGAAAGTCAGATATGTCTGGCAAATCATATAATATGTGTGTATCATGTCCTATTGTGCTCTTTATACTGAAGGTTTTGACGTTTATTGTGTGTTTGATTGCAGACAAAGCAAAGAATCCTGTGATAAAGTCAATTCCTGCATTACCCAACTCCAGGATCCATACATGCACGGTAAGTTGCTGATTTGTTTGTCTTTAGGCCTCATTCACACTGCCGCACATATGCAGTATATGCAAATAAATGGCTCCGTATGGAGCCGTATATTTGCGTAGCGTAAAAACAGAATGGAACCAAGATGCGTCCGGGCAACGTATTTCTGTGTATTTTACACACACATGCATGTTTGCGCGTGTACACGCGTACAGTTCATTAAAATTTCTATTACAAATGATGCATTCTGGGATTGCATATAGTGCAAGCATATACGCACGTATATGCGTATACAGTACATACGCGCATGTATGCGTATATACGCAATATACAATTTTGCTCTTGTGTGTGAATGAGGCCTATGACCGTAATTGGTTAGGAACCGGCTGAAATGAGGATTTGAAGCAAAGGAACTTCAGTGTCACAGTTATTGTTATGTTTATCCTTTTGATGGAATTGACCTTCACATTCTGTCAGGAATTGACTTTATTGGTATCTACAGTGACTGTAGGTGTCAGTATGCATACTTCAGTATAACTGTATATAGAAAAATATTTCGGCAGTTCCTTGGTTTTACGTGTGGCCCTGCTATGGACTCCTGGGTACAGTCCCCACCAGGAACACTCTCTGATGCGAGAGATTACATGTGCTCTCATTACATTTCTGTCTACAAGGATTGTCCTGGCCCTTTGATTCCTTTCCATTCCTGGATCTGGCTATGACCATGGCAAGGGCTGTGAGCCCGAGGCACTGACTGGACTTTATTAGGTTATTGTGAGGACTTTTGTTGGCTTTATTGGTGAGGAAGCAGAATGGTGGGACTGACAGACCTAAGTAAGTAAGAGCTGCTATAAAGTTCCCCTAGATGTGAGATGGCAGGCAGATTAATCTCTGAATGGCTGCAGCATAAATATGCACGCTTATACCTGCCACTGGGCATCACCTCTGGGGAACAACAGTGATTGATCTCAGAAAATCCATCCCAGACAATGGGGCCTGATTTCAGATTCTCCTTTATTACAGCAATTACTTAAATGCATTTTAGTTATCATGCAGCTTGGTCTGAAGTGGCACATAGAATTATTGTCTTCCTTTCCTCTTCTCATTGGAGAATGTTTTGTCAGGGTTGTAGGGAAATTTGGCAGTAAGCTTGTAACGGTCTGATGCGATTGTTCTTACCCCCTCGGGTTGCCCTAAATATATTGATCTTGCCCGTCTTATAGGGCCTTATCAGGCTCTTTTATGGCCACCTATATTTATTAAGGCAGTGCGCAGTAAGCCTTAGCAACCAATTAGTATCCACCGTTTCCTGATCTTACCAACTGCTATTGGTTACTTCACTTCATACATTGTTGATTGGAAAAAATGTAGAACCTTTTTGTCTGTGTACTTGCAGGTGGAAGATCGACCTCTTGTAAAATCTGCCTCCATTAGACTTAGAGGGGAATTTGGCAAAGGAAGAGATACTCGACAACAGAAAAAAGATGAAGCAGTGCTGAGAGTGGGCAGAAAGAAGCAGCATAAAATTAATCTGGATGAAGCGGAAGGTAAACGCTTGGCAGTACACCTAATTGCATATGTAGTCTTGGGGTATGTTTTAAAGGAGACAGGAAGAGGATGTAGATGTTGTCACTATGGGATAGTCCACCCATTAGAACACTATTATGTCAGAATATGTTGCTTGGTCCTCCCAACAGAATGCCTACACTGGGCACAGCTGTCACTGAGCTGTCCACCTAGAGCCCATGAAAAGGCATAATGGGTGTCGGTTGCTTGTAGGTGAGAAGTAGGGGGTTCTGTTTTTAGTATTATTGTAAGGAGAGCCCAGGGGTGACACTGGGCATTGTGCTTATGGTGGTTGTTCCAAAATGGGGTTGTTTTCTGGGTGATTCCCTGTCCCTGAAGGTGAGCAAGAGACAAGCAAGAGGTCTGTGGATCATTCTACATTACAACCTCTATAAAGAGTTGAAATATCAGTTTTGAATTGATAAGCCTTTAAAATTAGATGGGGTTCCTATAAGGGATGCACCGATACCAGTTTTTTAGTATCTCTAGTACTAGTACCGATATTTATATTTTGATACCGGTACTTCCGGTAGCATGGGGTTGGCTTTCCGGGCAATCAGGAAGCTGGGCAGCGTGTCATTACCCGCTGCCTGGCTCTTTGATTGCTCGGGAAGCCAACTCCATGCTGTTTGGTTGGCTCGATGCTGATTGGCCGGGAAGCCGGCTTCCCAGCCAATCAGAGAGCCGGCAGACGGTTCTTTACTTGTGGCTCGGTTTCCTGATTGGCCCAGAAGCCGCCCCTATGTTTCCTCGCAGCACTGCCGGTCAGAGAAAATCTCCCTCTGACTGGAAGTTCGCGTTTTGGAGCATTTGGGCGAGTACGAGTACTTGCCCAAATACTTATCGGCATCGATACTAGTATCTGTATCAGTGCATCCCTAGTTTTTATTACAGCATACATAGAAATATGAGCTAGAAGAACCAGCTAAAATGAAACAAAAGCTAAAAATGTTTTGGGGCAATGTAAGTCTTTCAGGGGATATTGTTTCTAACTAAAAAACAAACTTCACTTTTCTCCTTGTAGCCTTTTTTGAGATGATTTCGAAAGCACAAAGCAATCGAGCAGAAGACCAGCGTGGCCTCCTACGGAAAGAAGACCTAGTCCTTCCAGATTTCCTTCGATTGTCCCCTCCCGATGAGACTTCCTTAACCCCAGGAGCAGGACAGAGTAGCAGAAAAAAGATGGAGAAGAGCACCAGCCTTGACAAAGGCACAAATGGTGCTTCCCGCGGGTTCCTAGGTACAAAACAGGACTTCACCCAAAATGGTGCAGACTGGTCTGCCAAGTTCAGCGGAGTGGGGAAGAGGGACAAAGCCGAAATGGTGCCACCTTCTGGAAGGAAGACGTATGTTCCTTTTAACCCTCCACTGTCTCCAATCCCTCATGTCCAAGACAGACGCGTCGCCAGCCGCGAGCGACGTTCGAAAGACTTGTCTAGCGGGAACATTCAGACTGTGGAAGACGACAATGTAGCGGATCTCACTCTAGTGGCGGAAGGAGACATTAGCAGCCCCAATAGCACTTTACTCCCAATGCCCCCAACACCGCTGCGCGATGTCAGTAAGCTGTCCGAAGCCAACTTTTCACCCCCTCCTCCATGCACGGCTAGCCAAGATAGTTCTGGATGTCAGAGATCAGGTATTTCCGGATTTTAAGTTTACGTTCTGATTTTTACAAACCTCTCGCTTCCATTTTATGTATATTTTGTTTTATTTTCTTTTACGTTTTTTGCACTTTTTAAAATATTGCAGATTTGCACATTGTTTTATTTGTTTATACAGTGTGTATGTATAGAGGAGGTCGCCGTTCATAGCATAACACTGCTCCAATTCCGACGAGGCCAGCAGGAAGCGTTTACAATTCAAGTGCCAAAACTGTTTACAGAATCAGATCTATTCTAATGCTGGCCACAAACTTTCAGACCATCCGTAAGATCAGAGGGTGTGTGTAATACTATAATAGGAGTGCAGTACTCTCACAACTTGTGTGCTGATGCTTTAAATCAGAGGAACTGGCTGCGCTGCAAAATGCTTTCTTTTTAAACAGATTAAGAGTTAATATTAATCAAACCTTTTAGACTTGATTTGGATTCAATCGGAAAATTAAACTAAAAAAAGTATTAGACTGTAAAGAAATTGTAACATTTTGGAGGTGGGCGGCTTCCGCATGCCAGGCTGGCAAAATTGACTTTTTTCTTTCTTTTTCATTTAATTTAAATACAATAAATGTGCTTCCTCCAGATTGGTGGGTCTTTTAGTGTTGGAAGTCTGTGGAGTGGGAGTTCTATTTAATTTTATATAATTGTTAAACATCAGAGAGTGTAAATCTCCTCTCTCATCTCACCCTCGTGCAGACGAACAGGGCGCACATGATGGCGAACTGTCACGGACTGATATTGCTTAAACGTGCAATCTAGTTTTGTTATTTTTTTGTATAAAACCGCCGACGACTCTTTTGCGTTTAACAAAGCAGTGCAGAAAGCAGCAGTGATGAGCAGCCAATCGGAAGCCACAGTCAAAACAATAGCTGACTACAGGCTACTATGCCATTCAGAATGCTCTTTGTCCTGTTAAAGGGTGACAGTAGGGTGTTAAGGTTCATTCTGGGAATTATACAAAAAGCACTCTTGCAGTGGGGCCCCCAGTCCTGCAAGGGTTAAATGCTTGTTACAGTGACACACTCCAGCAGGTTCTCTCCATCCGTGTAACGTGTTCCCTGAAGCCTCTTCTGTAAGACACTCAGACCGGCAGTTGCAAGCTGATATTATGTACAATGCAGGGTCAATAGTCCTTCATTGTATGCAAAGAAGCTGAAGCCCTTCTGTAAACTGAAGCACTGGAAAGAAGAGGAGGGCGCTGGGGCGATGAATTGGGCAAGCTTTAAAGCTGATTCCTCTACCCCTAGACTTGGTGACACTAAGCTCAGGAGTTAAATCCTAAAAATACATTCAAGTACCTTAACTATTACCAGAAATATATCTTATTTGTGTATTACTCGGCTGTAGATCCTCAAATCATCTCTGAATTGGTGCTGACACTGTCCTTCCTTCTGGAGGGGGGCTACTTTTGTTCCCCATGGTCCTTGTGTGTGATGTAAAGTCGCCACCGATCCAAGCTCGCTCCTGTGATGAACTATAATCTTGGTACAAATTAGTAAACTAAACATGAGATTGTAGTCCATCATGTGAGCCATCTTGGAGCGGTGGATACTTTACAACATGGGGAACAAAAGTAGCCCCCCTCCAGAAGGAAGGACAGTGTCGGTACCAATTCAGAGTGATTACAGTGATACACAAATAAGATACATTTATGTTATTAAGGTTCTTGAATGGATTTTTAAGATTTAACTCCTGAGTTTAGTGTCAGTTTAGGTCTAGGGCTTCAGCGTTTTAAAAACGTGCGTTTCTCCCTGCATAGATATGTCTATGGAATTAAGACCGCACGGCGTCTGCCTGAAAATAGCTCCTGCATCTTTTTGCGCTACAGATGTTTCCGTACGTACAATGCAACGCTAAGGTGTGAACAGTCGCCATTGACTTGCATTGAAATGTGTGTTTTGTGCTTTTTCGCACCGATAAATCCGCACATAATAACAATCATGTGTGAACCAGGCCTGAGAGACTAGGTTTCAGAGAACCAGTTTCACGGATGGAGGGAACCTGCCTGAGCGAGGAGTAAGGTAAGAATTACACCGTATTCCTCAACTCCTAGACTTAATAGGCATTTACCCTTGGGGAGGGGGGCGGGGGGCAACTTCACGGTTAACTTTTTTTTCTTTCTTTCCTGGAGTGTGGATTTCAAGATATTTACTTGATTTTGTTTTTTTTTTCTTTACAAAGAGTATATACTGTATATCACAGCAGGCTTATTGAAGGAGCGGCCAAATACCGATCAGATTGTATCATTTTGTACATTCATTTCTTTTATTTTTTTTTGATGTTTAAACATTGATCAAAATGTGACATAAATTGTAAATATATTTTATTGTGTTTCCAGTGTTCAGCTTTTTATTTGTTTCACATAAGTGAACAGTTGGAGAGGATTGTAACTTGAATCTTACAGTACACATGAACTATAATTTTACCGGTCTTCTGTATACAGGGCACATTCTATGTTCTGCATGTTTGCCAATAACTCGGACTATGTATAAATATTCTGTATAGTTTTTATCAGTCCTTTGCTTTTTATTTTTTTTAAACGGAACCCTGTTCTAGCAAGTGTGCCTTTTTGACGCATGATTGTGTGTTTCCGAAAATATCGCTTTCTGCTGTGATTCCTCGATGATTTGATATTGATTTCAATGCACACTATACATTCCTGAATCTTCTGAAAGGCATTTTATCTTTACCGTTCTGCAAGTGTAGCGGCTGCAGCCATTTGGGAGCATGGGTGTGAAGTGTCTGAAGAAAGGGCGGTTCACTATGCTTATACCAACCAGTCAGTTTCTCCATATATCCAATATTGCGTTTGGGAAATCTGATCTGATGGTCAACAAGAAACTTTCTTCCTTAAGGTGTGTCTAAACCCAAGAACAACATTGTAATATATTGCAGCGTATCAGTCCGTAGATGTTGTCGCTGCATTCATTTTTATTTTTCAAGATCAGAAATTTTTTAGGAAGTACAGAAAGTGATAATCTTGTCACAAGTGAGGTGTCCTTGACCTCATGTGAGCTGACAAGAAAGCAAACTACTAACTCCATCAATCCATCTTGTAATGGAGATGAACAAAAGCAGACACATTTGAAGAGCAGTCAAGGTGTCAACCACAGCTACCTCCATAGATACAAAGGAGGAGTGAGCATAGCCACCCTATGGAAGGAGCTGTGTTGTTTGCAGGATCACCAGGTGAAAATAAAGGAAAAAATTCCCGCCACCATATCTAAGGACTCGTAGGCTGCAACATAGTACAAATTGTTTTTTGGGTTTAGACACGCTTGAGACAACATAAGGGATACAAACACTCATTGTGCATTGCCTATGTGTACATACATTCAAAGTGGACATTTGAGGATGTGTCATAGCTGAGACTACGGTCCAGCACTATAAGCTGCCAATATTGCCCACCTCCTGAAAGTAGTGCAGACTTCAGGGTAGGTCCGTACTGTACGAGATGTAATGTGCTCTTCCCCAGAACTAGCACCGCCTAATGGAGTCAGGCAATGGCAGTTAGAATAATTTACTCATATCATTGTGCACTGCAGCTGCATTGACAAGAATGATTATCTCAGATCTGACACACACGAGCAGTGGAAATGCTAGTGTATATGCACCGTATGCCCTTTGTGACAGGAAGGAGGATATAACTTGTTCAGGAATTGCTGATACTGCTGCTTCATGAAGTTATTCTTCCTCTTATAGTCACTGTTGGGCCCATGTCACATTTTATGATCCTAAGAGTATCCCACTGTACTCCTTACCAGAAACCCCTTAAGGGTGGGTGCTGAAACAACTGTGGATGGGGCCCCTGAGATCAGTGAAGAAGCAAGATGTCACCAGTACACCAGGAAGATAGGTCAACCAAATGTCTTTTATTGCCGCATATTGTCACAGTGATAGCGACTTGTCGGGGCCGCGCAGGGTCCCCTTCATCAGGCTCAGTATGGCATGCACATGATAAGTATGGTCATACGAACCCTGCATGGCCCCGAAACGCCAATATCATGGTGACAATATGTGTCAAAGTTTTGGTTGACTTATCTTCCCGGCGTGCTGGTGACATCTTGCTTCTATACTTCTGATCCTGTCGCTAAAAGGTGCAGGGAGAACATTGGTCTGCTTTGCATACGTCACGCTCTCACCGGCTGGTTCAGTGAGACGTTGCTCCCAGAAATGCTGAGGGTTTATAAGAAAAGAGCGGCATGTCACTCATCCAGCCAGCAAAGGAGTAACTGCACGTTACCTCCTCTGTGACCTCCATAGACGGCAGGATCACAAGTAGGACATGGGCAGTGGGGAGTTCATAATCTGCTTCCTCTGAAATATTGGTCCTGCCACAAATGTCTTCCTCCCCCCCCCCCCCCCCCTCCACCCCCCCATGCCACTGCATGTAGCAGGTCCTAGTAAGTAGCATAGAAGTGACCACCTGTATTGCCATAAATTGTCATGGCTGTTTGTCCCGTTGTTATTTTCAGCCGGTCATTTCTGAAGATCTAGTAGTGACATCACTGTAGATTAATAGGAATATAATGAATATCATAAATGAGAATTGTTCCGGTGTACTAGGAGGACAATTACAAATTTCTCTCAAAAATATAAAAATGTTACCCGTTGCTGATCTTGGAGAATTGTATGGAGTGTGTTGCTGTTGCACTGTTGTTGTGCTTTAGAAATAGAAATGCAGAATACAGTACAAAAAAGATTCGGGCACTTTCAAATGTCTTGGAGAAACCAATATTGGAAGCTGATTGGTTGCTGTGGGCAGGTATACTTCATCCCCATGGGTTACTTTTCATACATGAGGTCCATGTGTCACTAGGCCTCGAGCCATACACCAACAGGATGGTGACATCACACTGCTTTCCCATTCCGCTGACAAACTGGCTGCCATGCTGCACATAGACAGTGGGTATTCTTTACCTGAAATCTCATTTCTTGGGGTAGGCAACTTCAGCACTCCAGATGTGGTAAAACTACAAAT